TAGAAGTTATTATATAACTAGAGTGTAGAAAAATCATTATCTACTAATATAGCTCGGCTTATATTAACAAGTCATGTGGCACACGTACATCATATTTGAGCATAATGAAACGCTATAAACGCTGGGAACAAGTCAGCCTTTTCAGCTGATGACCCATCCCGAAGATCTCCGATAAACCCCTGTGCCACCTAATTATTATCTAGAAAAATATATATGGCTATTGTAAATTGTTTTTTCTTGGTTGTTTTACTTTTACCATATTGAGTACATTTATAGCCACGCACACACAGTTCGTGACAAGTGACTGCTCCTAAATTTCCTAAATTACTGGTTTCAATTTCGTTTGAATCTCCTCGACGAGGTAACTCTTTTTTACCTTACATATAGCAATGCAGGCCCACTATTTGTCACTGTGCAACGCGCCCAATGCGACCAAGTTAACGCTGGAAGGACACAGCTCTTGCCAAAACGAATATATTGAAAAAATTGTGTTTTCATCTGATATTACACTATTGGTATATTAATACAGTGATGAAACCCGTTATGACGAAACGAGGGATGCGTCGCGGTGTCATTGGCCGTGCCACTCCTCTCTTGAGTATATTCGTATGAGTAAGGAATAATATGACCTAAATGCCTGCGACGGAGTTTAATCCATATAATTATAGTTTTGTTAATAAACGCGGCATAAATTTATGGATTATATATATATATATATATATATAAAGGGTCATAGAAAAATTCCAGCAAGTGTAAGCAGTGTTCGAACGAATTGTGATGCAGCAAGGATGTATTTTGTCAATTTTTTTGCGGATTGATCTACTAGACATTATTAATCGATTAATGATAGATCTATTTTAACTGAACGGCGACAATGATTAATCTGTCCCAGAAGGTAATTGAGCTTTTACTACTCATGCATACCCAATAGATATGAACAAAGCTTAAATACTGAGGTATGTAGAAGGCACCAAAGGAATCCCTCTATATAAAAAAGCATTAATTATACTAAAAAGCACTAATTACAGTAACCGATTAATTGCCCCCCATCCTTCAGTAATTACATCCAGGTAACAGGCATGCCTATTACCCGATGAATCGTTTGCAGCGCCCCCAAAGAAAACAAACGTGTCAGCTAGAGGGAAAAAAGAAAGCAAAAGTTATAATAAACAATAAAGATATACTATACGTAATACTAGTACCCCGTGTATTGACAAAAATTTCCCATCCTTCCACAGGTGACGTGTGACCTTCAGCGTTCGACTCGTTCTACGGGGCAGTCTTCGGCCACGCGTGCATCGATACGTGCGTATAAATCGCTTGCCAGTTAACGATGGTCAGTTCATAAGCATTGGCTGTTGTAATCGCGTATGTTATTCTAGTTACTGTACACTTCCAAGCGTACACACGTAGCTCAAGAGTTTGAAAATAGAAGGAATGTCATGCTCAGCGTTTCGTCTCGCTAAAGCGGAAACGGCATTATCAGCAGCAACATGGCGGCCAAAGCGGCCTATAATTACTAGACATCTGAACTGTGTTTATATGCGATCGGCTTCTCTGCTCGCCGGTCACATTGCCCCATTACTTTTATCGCTCAACAAGCAGACGATAACACAAACGATTACCAACCAAGTTAATCAGATACATAAGTCTGTGTACATAATCAATATGTTTTTTGACGAAGTCACATCTGTTGTGTAATATACGTTATAAGCGGGATTTCACCTGTTTAAGAATATACATCTACTTCAACGATGGCATAGTAATTGTACCCCTCATAATACATGCGGAACACGGTCCGGGAAGGACGGATTCAGCTAAACGATGGTGCTGACTGAAGTAAACATGAGCAGTCAAACGTAAGTAAAACTTGTAGCAATATATGTATAAACGTTTTAATGTTTAGGTGGCTACAAAGCTGAGCATTATGCTGAGTATAATACAAGTACTCGATACTATTTATGACCGTTTTGCCAGCTGAAATTTCTGAGCGGTACAGATAAGTCAGTCGAACTCAGCTGGACTTAGAAAATTTATGCGTATAGATTATACCGTTTGTCATGCAGTCGGAAACTATTTAAAGACCAGAAACGGTTTCCGGCTGTTTGCGAGCTTACTAGTTAACAATTTTTCGATTATCGTAATTTATACATAATATTCGATTTTCGCTATGTTACATCGGGGGACATTTTAACCTGTACGACCTGGAACTATGCCAAACAATAGCTCAGAAAATCAACGATTACGAGGTGAGCTACCTACCATCGGGCCTGTTTTCAAATAGAATGGCTCAAGGCGGACAGATTTTGTAGCCTATGCACTACACGAGTTTGAAGCAATTCAAATAGGCCTATGTTAACTGGAAGACCTTCAAATATAGCTTAAATTGTACATGCATCTAATTAGTTAGAAAGTTTAATTGTAATGAGAAGGGAGGGAGGTGGTCGTTTCAACTAACAACACCTCTTGCCATTGAGAGGTTGTAGGCTGCAAATTGTCAAATCACCGCTGATGCTATTTTGGCCACCAAGACTTAGAAATATAAATAGAATTTTTCATGTATGTATGCTATATCACATAGTAGTAGTAGTAACAATACGATAAACAGCACACATGCGTCGATTATACTTCATTTTTTTATATGTACGAACCTTAATATGTGTCAACCTGAACTTGCGTCCGTTCTTTCCCCTCTATTTGTTGGGTTGCCACAGCGCCCCCTGAATAAAGTGCACAAAGTTAAATATTCATTCGCCTATAGCACGCGCTCGACGCTGCCAATCGAGTTCTGTGCTGTTTTAGCGGCACTATCTATTGAACACCCAACACACAATATAGCGGCTCCTGTGTAGTAAGTATCCTGAGGTCGTGCGTTCAACCAATTAGTGATTATGGGCGCAGAGTTTAAGAGACGTAATTGCACATTAAAAACGCACCGGGATGCAGCAGTATGCCCCGAGAGTACTCCTAACACACCCCCAACTTCCTGCACTGGAACCTCAATCGTGGTGAAATTCCGCCCCAGGGCAGCGTGGTCGGAGCCAGCAAATACGCATACGCAGTGTCGTCTTGATGCTCACCGTCTTCGTGCGGCCGAATCGCGTCGGTCGAACTCGCAAGAAACGAACGCGGTCGTGAATCAGGAAAATGATCTAGTGAGGATACTAAGGGCGACACACTCACGACGGCCACCGGCGGCCAGCCTGCGCTCGAGCTAGCTTCTTCAAATCACTTTGAACAGTGGTTCTGGCTATCGTTGATGCTGTATCCTTATCAATTGGGCTCCTAGACTTGACGCGTCACAGTGATAACTCCTTTCTGTTTGTCAGCGAAAATAGGATCCGTCGAAGAAAACTTTCTATATGCCTAGCCGGCAGTCTGGCTTATTGGCGGGCTGGCGTAAACAACGACGATTGGTAGACAGAAACCCGCGTGCGTTGGGTCATTTACTCTCCTGCGCGTTTGATTCCGCGGTTTGTATCGAATTGTATTACATTGCACACGCTCACTAGGAAGCGTTAGCATTGGTTAATGTGTGCCCGGAGCTATTTTAGTACAGAAGCTTTATACATCGAAAAGCCTCACCTTTCATATGGAACGAACGTGAACAAGGCTTTGGTTTACGACTGATTAACTAGCAATGCAGTTGATCAGTGTTTTTGTATGACCAGCTGATCCAAGCTAGAACCGAGCCGGACGCGACACACCTCCGAGCGTTCTAGCTCTTTACTGGCTGCCCTTAGTAATGGTACAGCAGCAGGGGCAGCACCACCACCTGCTTTGGCGTTTGGCGTTCGGACTAAACATTTGGTCGTTGCCTGCCCTACACCTCTCGAGTCCTGAGCCAGTGGACCATCACGGAGAGCGGCTTGGTAGCGGGTGGTAGTGGCTGTTTGTATTCGGGGGAAAAAGAGGAGGGAATATCGCCGAAAGGGAGAGCGCGCTCGCGCAGCTGCTGCTGCTGCTGCTGCCGCCACTGCTACAGCCAGCCAAGGAACCAAACAACGGGCTCCGACCCACCGACGGACTAGCTAAGTTAAAGATTGTCCTGAACCGGCGGGCAGACCCGCTTATCAAGAGTACAACCTCCGCCAAAATAAAGAAACGTTTACGTATAGAACAAAAAACAACAAACAAAGAAGCCTATAGATTGATCCAAGTAGTTAGTGAAGAACAAATGAAGCAGACACAAGGCGGGCAGGCTTTGTAATCCACTAAAAATGTTTTGTTACTCTTAAACATATCTTCATAACATAAAGGAAACAACGTCACAAGAAGCACGTTTTTTTCTCAATGTACTATTTATTTCGGTTTGTTTCAGAGCTGGGTTCAACTCATGTAATCGTATGCTGTTCACCAGACGTTGCTGGTGAACCGACTCCATCTTCAGGCGATTGCTAATCATCGTTAGTATATGTTAGTTAGAGAATGGCTTGCACGTTAGGCGGCATAATATAGACGTGCTGCCGAGTGACGTTCGAGGCAGACGAGTGCTACAGAACAGCGATCGCTCTTTCCCTCAGGCCAGCGAACAAGTGGCGCCCCCGACGGTGAGTTCTTTAAATTTCGTCGGTCACCGAGCGTGTACGGAATCGTGCGGGATAACCTAGCGTCAGTGTTCAGTTCGGTGCTTTGCCGTCGAGTTGCAAGACAATAACCTGACGCGAGTTAGAGGTGAGGTTGGAAGCAAGTTAGAGAGAACGGGCAAGCTGATGGAGAATTAAGGAAAGGCGGAGGATAGTGCGGAATCGAGGTGCTTACTAGCTTGAAGGCCTGTAGGTACTATCCGATAAGACTCAAAGAAGACCTTAACACAAGAACCCAGAAGGAAATTCTAGGCAAAAAGCCGACGGCAAGAAGAACTGGTAGTGGCCTCAAGCACGGACCAGCAGGCAAAGCAGAACGCTGGCGCTTGTGGGCCCGTGTTTGGCTGAAGCCAACGGGCTTCAGGATAGTTGAGATGGGGGACAGTAAGTGAAGGGTAGGAATGCAGAAAGTGAAGCGTAGAAAAAGAAGACGAGGTAACGAGGGTTGAGTCTAAACACGGGCTGTTGGTTATTCTGGTGGAACAGGGACTAACGTCTCTCAGACGCACTTATGTGCGAAACGAGACCTGTCTTGTTTGTCTTTATAGCTCATCAACGTATCTGGTTTTAGGGGGCGCTGACAGACATTCGCCATCTATGCCCATTTAGTGTGTTTCTAGACTGTTTGCGGGGTCCTTTGCCAACAACAGAGACGGTAATGCAGTAGTACATTGATTACGCCAGGTTGACGTTTGTCTCCAAATCTCAATTTACTAAGAAATGTATAATAAAGTACCAGCTGCCAAGCAAGACAACGATCTGATACAGAAATGTTTGACGACGTTAAAAAGGTTCGAATAAGTTTAATTAAAAAATAAAAGTTTAGCGTTCCACTGCCAGTCACTTTCGCATCATAGCGCCGTTCCAAGTAGGCACCATTTGTACCTTGTGGTGGAACCACTTAGAAAAACCTAAAAAATTATCTGTTTTCAACATAGGTTCCTTGCTTATTCATTACAGGATAAAAAACTGTATATATATATATATATATATATATATAGACGACAATAGTCGACTAGACTATGCGTACGCCCACTGACTGAATGATTAGTGTTGCGTGAAACACTACTTTCTACACAATGAGTTGAGCAAAGTTTGCCAACAGTGAAACGTTTCCACCCCAAAGTGCCTCATCGGTCCGCTGTGACAAATGGATAAAAAATTCTGAATGCTTTCAAAGTCCGGAATGGGTTTTTATTGTACATGCTCTGTTTTTTTTTTGATGGGTCAGCATCGGCTAAGGTCGTCGGGCTGTTCTCGTAGACGGATGCGGCAGTTTCACCTATTCATTGTTCCAACGTTAATGAATACACTGCGTTTTGAATCCCGTTGAATACGAAACTTGAGTAACATCTAGTTGATATATAGTGACTTAAGAAACATTAAGAGGTTTTCCATACGAAATCACTTATTTTCTAGATCTGTCATTTAAACACCAAACGAACGTTTTCCTGAAAGCACTAAGACAGGTGCAAGAAACAAATGGTCGTAAAATAGTCGTATCGAGAGGGTACACTATTCGATATATTCATTTTCACTCTTGTTCCATCCGTCAGCAGGATAGCTTGCCAGAAACAGAATCGCGTTTCCTTGGAAACTTGCCGTGACCCTCCAAAAAGCTGTTATTCTATATATATATATATACACGTTTTTGGCAATCGTTCAGCGGTTAGTGTATAAACGGTAAGCGAATAACACTCCGGGTCAATAATAAAAATACGAAAGGTACTGAGTGACGTCGTTTTACGAAGTCATCCACACATCTAATTTTATCTTTTGACATTGTTTCTTTCCCACCATTCTCAGACAGCGTCAATATTCATTTTATAGCTCAAACAATAAATTAGAAAGCTACGCCAAATCTATCTACATGTTTTGATTGTGTAGTAGAGTGTAGAGGGTGTTTTTCTGTACAAAAAATGGGGTTGCCGTTATATTAATGTTTAATCCCAGTCTAGGTTGCGACGAATAGAATCCTACCTGACGAAACCGGCAGTTTTAAATTTCTAGTAGTTTGACTGTATTGGAATCTACGTCAGATCGCTTCCATCGACACTTTGTCGATGTAGCATGCTGCTTGGAATACAACCGTATTAAAAGTTGCCAACCGAATTGACATATATTTATAAATTTATTTTGTGATGTGATTCAACATTATCGGGAATCGGACTGCACGCGGAAGTGGAGTAGAAGTGAGTTGAAACTCCCTAGAAACCTATGATAGAAGGAAAATGTGAATACTTAGCTCAGGTTGTACTAATAATCGTTTACATTTGCCCTTCAACAGATGAGAAGCGAGGACTTAGATAACTTCCACGAAGCTCATTAGGTTCCTCTAGTGGTCCAAATAGCAGGATAAGCGGGTTCCTGAACAAACTGGACAAACCTGAGATGAATGAGGCAAATAAAGAATGTACGTTTCATGAACAGGTAACAGTAGAAAAAGCTCACGCTTTATCAGCAAACCTTAAAAAGTCCATCATCTATTACAGAGAAACCTGACTGAAGCTTATTAAGCTAGCACGTATCGATATAATGTACACGGGAGGCAATCTTCAAAAGAATAGAGGATACAAACGAAAGCAAATAATACACATGTTGCCTCCAATAAGGACATAGACGATCTGAAGGTTCTCTTACAGTAAGAAAGACTAAGGGAACAAAAAACACTGAGGAAACCTTTCTCTACGCTTTGGGACGGGGAGCACGCTAGTCCAATGGGCCCGGTAGGAATAATAGGTTAATGACGTTCTGACAACTTTACAATCAATCGAACGTCAGTTTGAGCTAGTTAGCTAACGCAATTTCCCAGGACAGGACAGGCAAATAGATTTTCGCGTAATCTTTGTCAAGATTCTGTTGTAATAGTAAATCAGAAATATCCATCTCATCTGTATCCGCGCACAGCATCAATGCCATAATACTTCTACTAATATAATAGGGTAATGCGTATTCACTCGTCTGAGTCTAACAACGAATTAAATAGACGTACGTATATGTCCAGTAAAACTATACGTTGACCTAGAAGTTGGCCACAGCCTTCTAATTGTAGATAGTTTCATAACAAAAACAGCATGACAGATAGGAGTCATGAGACGGATAATGATAATACTAATTTCTAAAACTGGAACAAGGTCTACCTCGTTTCGTACAGGCTGGCTAGCATTTTGTCTCGTTCCCAAAAGATCGCTTTGGGCAGAGCGTCAAGAATCGGCGCCAGTAACGATTGTTCACGCACGGTTCCAATATCTGCATTAAAATTTAACCCCAGTGGCAAATGTAAGTGCACTTGATTAATCAACGTGATAATTATCTAGAGCATATAGGTACTTGTTTAAGCTGGCACAAGTAAATGTATAAACCCCAAATAGTTTTATCATGGAATGCTTTAATGGATACTTGCTTTTAAACTAAAAGAATGTAACACATCATAACCAGATTTACCAAGCATATTACTGTCATTTGTTTGGTACCATTACGCCTTTATTACATATATCAAATGAGCAATAAACGCCGGCTCTCACTATAATAGCCGTCTGAAGCTAAAATTACGTTTTATGGGATGACTAGTTCAAGCGTGGCTAGCCTACGTCCACACCGATGTTCAGCGGTCGTTTCTTTTCTATTAGCTGCAGTGATACGGTCTCTAAAATAGCGTACGTGCATGCTAGTTTTGAGGATACGTTAGGTTCGAATCCAGACATAGACAGACATCGTTTTGGACTTGAAGCAGCCCTCTGATAGAACGTTTACCGAACGCGGAACTCGAAACATAGACGTACATTAATACTACGGATTGATATGCTGCATGAACGATGTAGTTATATAAAAGGAACTTCGACTTCTATAACAGTGCCTTTACGATCCAATCATTATAGCCAACATTGCGGCATACTATTAGGGTCCAACGTGAGACAAGTTTCAATCCGGGGGACATAACAGGGAGCTCAAACTATCTTCTAGACGACCATATTGAAATAGATCCGTAACGAGACGTTTTACCGTAGTAATTTCCCTTTTGTTATGTAATGTATCAAAACCCTTATTACATAAAGCACTATTGGGTATATCGTTGTTATAATACGACTGTTGCTTTTACATCCAACCTAGAAATTTTTTAAGAGTGAGAGTCTTCGAGAAATCTTCAGAATCTCCTAAGGTATCTGGATCTCTTTGCCCGAATATAAAGCCGGCAGTCGAAAATCAGACAATCTTATGGCATTCGTCTATTCCCAATTTTACCGTAGTATTGATCTGGCGAAGACGAAAACCCGTAACGGTGCAATTTAAGTGATCTATTCAAGTGTCCCTTTTTTTGCAGATCTTATTTGGAAATCAAGCTTTTACTTCAGATCCTATAGAAAAAGGCTAGGCTTATACAAAGAGCAACTCGGAAATCGTTGGTATTCGTCAAAACACAATCGCTTGGCAAATATCCACTATAGTTTGTTTATTTGCTTTAAAGTAGTTCTTTTAACTTTTTCTAGATTTCAGTTTCATTAACTTAGACCGCTCCCCCGCAAAAATTCTAGGGGTTTGGCAAACTCGATTTCCAAAAGCTTACAATTTAGACAAAACCGTGGATCATTGGTTATTGGTTATTAAAAATTCTTGCCATTAAAACTGTGCGAAAAGCTTTTCCGTGCTCATTTGCCTATCATTAGCTAAATTTGGGAAGCTCAGAATCAAAAATTGCTTAAAACAGTGTCTAGAAAACTAGTACGTAGCAGTAAAATGTAATGCCGATTCTGGCTATCTTAAATGGAAATAATGAAAGCATTTTTTTAAAAAATATTTACGATCATTCGATTGTCTAGTGCTCACTTCCCCGATGGATAAATTCAACACTCAATGTAGGTACATTCAGTGAAGAATATTCGAATTTATTATAAAGTTTTTATGTATTAGTAACCTAAGAATTTCCACCCAGAGACATATAACTTACATTGAACTTCTGATTTTGCAACTGCTCACCATTAATGGTGATGCCATAAATGCCGGAGCGTATACACCGAAACGCTCCTGGGTGCTTGAGCTTTTCCAACGGCAGCCGTTTCTGTGTCGGAGAACTGTGCTTACTTGACATCGTATCGCTGGAAAGCCATAACCATCAAAATACACTTGAGTTTTTTTTTATACAAACGTATTTCCGCGTTAGCATTTTCTAAGCCTGCTGAGCGCAACGAATGTCAGTGTGTAGTTCATTACTTTTATGCTTTCCTCTTTATGTACTAACCTCTGAAAAATTTTCGTTCAAATCCTAGGATAGTTATAGTTAAATATTCCAATTTGCATTAATTTTAATTAAATACAAGATAATAGCGAAAATTGTATGGCTGTATCGGGCTGTTCCACCATGGTGTTTTAGTAATCCAGGCATTAGTTCACGGATGTGTAAGACATAGATCGACGCTCTGGGCCTCTCAGCGCTCCCCTCCACTAATTCTTAATGTTTCTCCATTTAAGTTATCAGTGGCGGGATTCAGTTTGTCGTACGGAACGCATCGTGGCTATGGGATTATCACAGCTTAATGATAATGTTAAATGAGAGATCTCATTCTCGGGCTGGATCATCCAGCCCGAGAGTGAAACCGAAAGTGACTAATAGAAAGAGAGCTTTACTCATAAAAGTGAATGTTCAAGCTGACTTCATATATTGCTCCAAGCCTCTTTTGTGCCTTTTCAAATATTGCCCCTCTTTTTAAGGTAATCGGTTAAAGAGAAGTCGAATCGGGTTATAGGTAAAGAGTGAATATACGACTCACGAAATTAGATTTTTTAATTAATACGCTACTAAGATGTGTCATCGCGCTCAGAGCACCCTGTACACTACCATGTCAGTTTAACAGCAGTGCGTACAGAGACAATCTATCTTCTTGCGCACATAAATCCTCGGCTTTCTCATCGATAGTACGTAACCCTTACTTAATCCGTGCTCCAGATTGTTTGTGAGTTATCGTTTCGTATTCGGCTGCCATGTTGGCATTGTTGGTAGCTTCGCGTTTAGTGAAGCCGTGGCCTTCCATACGGTGATGCACAATCCTATAGCAGGCAATTTAACTGTCTGAAATTATTATCTAATAACAATAATTATATGCGGACATTGTCTGTTGAGATATACTTGAGTCAGTATATAAGCTGTTGCGTAATGTAGTAATGGCACCCTGTCATCATTACGGTCGCCATAAGCCCTCGCGATCTCTCGACTCTAGTTACCTCTGTCTGTGCGTTAATAAGAAGCCGCAGGAGATGTCTTTAGCGTGTTTGATAGGTCAGACTAGCGAAGTCGTACGGCTTCTTGGCCATCCTTCACCGGAAAAGTTCCAGGGTCCTAGGTGATTGGAAATAAGGAAATCGTATTTCTTGCAAAAAAAAACCTTACAGAATTAATTAATCATTTAATATCTGTCGACTCGATAACATCTATGGTGCCTCATATCGCTTGAATAGTGGAAGATTAAGATGATCATCCTAATTTTCTGCTATTGCAAAAAAGCCAAGCCCTGGCACACAGTGGTTGGTATGTATGTACACATATATAATCTGCCCTCTTAGTTCTATAACAATCACACAATAAACATTATTCCCGGCGTTTATTCAGGGGTCACGCAGGGAGGTTCCATAGTGAAACATAGAAGTCCGCCAAACAGATTAAGAGGTAATACTCGTTCAGGAAGGTGTCAACTGTAAACTCGTACGACAACACGAGCATCACGATCTCCCATTCCTGGTACCTACACTAGTCAAGAAAAATAAGAATATATCGATTTCATACGACCAGCAAATGTTTATAAGATAATAACATTAGAATCTATTATAATCATGAAAAACATAATTTCTAACGGTCACGCGAACTCCTTTGCTGTTGAGTCTGTTCCTCTTTTGGACAAAAGACACATAGTAGCCGATACCAGTATAGATCATATAATTAACCCAAAGAGAAGTGATATAGCTTAACAAGCTCATGAATAGAGTATTAGGAGTTATAAATACCATTATACTCCCCACCGCTTATATTCGAACCCTTAACCCATTGTCCTGTCACCTGTGCCAACCTGAAGGTTCTCCTGTCGATTTATGAGTGAATAAATTTGTGATTGAAACATTTTGGAGAAATGGCGTAGCACAGAAAACCTCATAATCGTAACAAACGCTCTACTGAGATGGGGACAGAAGAAACACTGCATAAGTACCAATGCGGGACCATCTAAAATCAGTCATCGTCAATAATCTATTACGCGGTACAGGAGAGTATGATTGTTAGAGTATTAGTAGAACAGAATATTCAATATTTCATCAGACAAGGCAGCAATATCTTCTCATTCAGAGTAAGAAGAATAAGCCAAAGAGTTCTATTTCAAGGGGTTCGAACTCATCAAATGCTTGCATTATGAAACAATAAAGTTTTCTGTGGACGCGCTGAACATAACCGGTACAAGTGGTACTCTCACAATCAATACACAATTTATAAGCGCATCGTTCTTCTTGCTTTTCATTCCTGCAGTTGACACCTGAGGCTATACGAGTGATCACATCTGGGATCAGCTGTTTTTATACCCCATAGGTGTACACCTCTTTGTAGGAACCCGTGAATTGCTCAAAATGCTCAGCCAGCTCATCAAAAACATCTTCGCAGTCCGGCCGAATCTGCATATATATATATATATATATATATATATATATATATATATATATATATATAATTGTAACGTTCGATTCAAATCTATTTGTTTTTCGTGCGCACGGAAATTGCTAAAGAGAGCTTTCTATTCCGCGGTTAAAATACCTACCGAAATTGCGTTGATAGGTATGTTGAATAGGTATGTTAAAGCTAATTTAAAGATGATCTTTAAGGATCAGCACATGGAGAATCAATAGCCTTATGGTTAGTGAAATGTTGCCATTGTTGATAAAAGTAGTTCCATGGTAAGCTTGTCTTTTTTTAACCTTTAACGTTTCAGTTTCGTTCATTTCCATTATGAATCGGTACAAAATGCTTATCAGTGTCTTCAATGAGGCCTCTAGTGATCATGCAATGCTTTCTTGGCCTGCTTCTTTCTAACGACACATATCAGAAATGCAATTAGGCCGTTTTTCGATATTAAACTACTGCATTTTCCGCTGCTTTGATTTACCCAAAATTGGTCCCTAGAATTGCAAGCTGCAATAAATGATCAACAATGGCTTAAGGGCCGCAATGTGCTTGGCCTACACCAGTTTCGCAAGCCAGTTAGACGTGTCCATAAACGTAATGTAATTGGACATTATTTTCGAACACTACCAACTCATTTGGTGTCCACAACAAGCTCCAATGCGCGCAGCGCCATCTTGCTTACCAAATCCAAAACTACCTAGTAGTCTTAGAATTATTTATTAGTTAGAATTGTATGAAATGGCAACGTTTCTGTCTAGCCCGTCAACAACTACTGACTGTGTTCAAAACGACACTTTTAGAAATGGATACCTATTTCCCTTTTTCTTTTTTTTTATTTTAACAATAAGTATAGAAAAACACGCTTTACCAATTCGAATAAAAATGCCAATGTTGTTCAAAATAATATGAAACGATAACATGGATGCAGGTTACCTTCCAACCGCCAGTTTTTAACGTACGAGACTTATGTGACGTAGGAAATGACGCAACTTTTTCGCGACATATCGCTCCATCGTTTACCTCCGTTAAATAATGGCTGTTTACCCATCAGAGCTCCTCTGTCTGTAAATGGCTTAAAATGCTGTTTATATCTGTGAGCTGTACGAGTGCATGCTCATGTATAACACCGAACCGATACAAAGACGAAAACATTATACATATATGTTATTTAGGGTATTTCCAAAGCCGGCATGCTCGATCACTTACAGAATACCTAGCAAGTCCTTAAGGTAGGTAAGTAATTCGAGGCATTGAAAATATTTGTTTAATTAGAATACCAATATTATACACGAAGGACAAATTAATAGCTCCACCAGCGTAATACCAAGGCACGCCAGGCCTCAATTTATCCGCCGCCGAAAACACAGCGTAGGAACGCTACGTACAATTATACAGAACCACCGTCGTATAAAAGGTGACACTGAAGAACACATTATCCAATCGATCCTAGGTCACTAACTCCGTTATATATATATATATATATATATATATATATATATAATATACGCTCTCATTAATTTTTATTAATATTAATTGTACACATCTCAGTAATTGACTTTGAAAGTAGAAGATTATCTAACCAAGAACATCGATTTCACTATTGGCAGCTGAAAATGTGTTGTATCCATCTGAGTCCGAAACAAAACTTGTCCTCTGAATATTGGATGTGAAACCGACAGTACTTTTCTATAGGATGTCAATCTTCTATGCAATCAGAGATAGCGTACGAGCAACGCGAAGTCCTAGTATAGGACATTACGTAACCTGAACTGATCGTCATGTTATGGTTCGCTTTTTCCACAATATCAGACAACTAGCAAAGGTACGAATTTTCTGTACATTGCAAAAGATAAAGCCGCGCTGAAGCTTTGTTGTAGCACTGGCCAATATTACCTGTACGAGGGCACGTCGTTAAGTCGATATTTCCTAACCTTGCGCCATCTCTATAATCCGCCTTTCATAGGAGTCCGGTATACATGATACCTTGTTTTTAGCCAACCATCTAATCGACTTATTGAATTACTGTCACATGCATGGTACCTTTGTTCGGTACGGGACACAGATACTTCGGCAACTCCGGCAGTTGGTCCGTTTTGTTTCTAATGAGATAATATATAAAACCGTTGCATAAACCATGTCGGCCCGAAGCGTAGTGTTATTTCCACACGTGATGTTAGCCGTCAGTCTAAAAATTCGTTATAAATTCTATATGATACGGGAGCAAATAAATTAACTTGAATGCAGCATTCCAAAAACGTAACTCAGTGCTTTATCAGTATATTTCTACTGTCATCCACAGATCGACAGATATCTATCTGCAGACATTTGTCAGCAACTTGCTGAGCTTTGGTAGTAGCTTTTGACAAAACTACACCATTTTTTTTTGCATCAAGACATTAGTGATGTTGTATATCGATATTGAAATCGGATATATGTCCTTTCAAATCGTCCCAATGGATTTAAACCTAGAGTGCAACTTCTGACGTCAGATATTTGTTGAAACCTTAGAAATCGAAAGTTGACTTCCACATCATCTGAACTTAATAAACGAAACGTTGTAACGCTCCAACTGGTAACTTGCTATCGATACAGCGATGAATTAGCATATGTCGAAAGGGGCATAGCTCGTGACCGTTGAACTCCTGCCACGAAAAAAGCCGACCGTTAGCCATACAAGGTGAGTAAACAGTTTGTCAACGATTGAACCTGATTCATTGCATAGTACACTTTTGACAAAATCAGCCATAAGCAACTGCCAGTATATAGCGTTATAGATGAACTCTAGCAGATCGTCCAACAGGCTTCTACGTTTGAATTAGGGAAGGCGACACAATATGAAAGCCAGTTTCTTTTAAAACTTGTCATGGCAAACAACAGTGCGTCATTTTAGAATTTGAGCCAAGATCATTTAACGGATCCTTTTGTGCTAGATAAAGCCAGGACAAAAATGCTGACCTTCTTTGACCGAGATGGCCAGTTTTCACAAGGCTTATGAAGATATCTGGAAAATTTTCATGTGGCTAATAACAAAATCCTCAGAGTGTTTAAATTTAAGGGGTTTCAAAGCTTAACAATATAACTTAGACATCCATTGTCATTACATCTAGATTTGTCAGTAGGGAAACTAATGATCGTTTCAAGATGAAGGATGTTAATGGACAACTGGGTCGTTCGGATCAGCTATGGCGATAAGTTTTTTTGAGACTTTTTGCCTTCCTAGAATTTTCGGATGTTTCAACTCCTTGCATCCTTGCAACGTTTAGCACGCTCTTAACCCTAAATGTTATTCTGTTGGAATTTTTTCGTATGTAGCATATTTGAGCGATACTTTAACGCGTTTAGGTCGTTTATGACGCACTGGTACAGTAAAAAATTAGTTGCAATTTAAAAAAGAGATATTTTTAAAATGACTCATAAGTGCTTTAGGTCGTTGTAATTACGGTGGATAGTGGTCATATTGAATAAACATAGTTCTCATAAATTACAGTTCTAGCACATGCGAAGGATTTCATTGAAATGTTTGTTTCTTTTTTTTTGTTTTCTTTAAATACAGCCCTGAAAACAAATCACAAGAAGCAATCTCAATTTAGTACGCCACCCCGCATTCCACACATATCGGTAAACGTGAGCTGGAGTCAATCAGCAAAAAAAAAGTTATTTTTCCAGGTTTCAGTAACGTAGGACAGAACGCTAAGACGGCAATGCATGTTTCGTCTTACTCCTTAACTCGCTGTTAAAGTGGCAACACTGTAAACATAGCATTGTCGATTTGAAAGTTGGGTCCAAATGTTAAGGCCCAGTAATGGAGCTTCTCTTAAAGTACCATCTCAAGCATTGTCTGAGTGCAGCCGTGCATAGATATCACCTAGCGGAAGGAAACTACTACGAAATCAAAAGAGAAATCGCAAGCAGGACAAGGCTTTGTAAGCCACTTGCGACCAAAGTGGAGTACCATTTATTGACCACTATAGAGGGCTATTTGATCTGTTCATTAGCTCACTCCTAAGAGTGAATAAAATTCGTTCAACGATCACAGGTCCAAATGCTGCCAAAATTGCTTCATCCATTAGATCTCGATATAGTAACAATTAAATAATACACATAAATAGATGTGTAATATATCTGCATAAATTGCACTAGGTAACGTTAAAGGCCTACTACAAGGAAAGTTGTAGGACACAGCATGCCTTTATCTCTCAGTATTGTTAGCAGCTGATAAATGCATAAACAGGTCGAAAGTGTCGTTGACAGCAAGCTGGTCATTAAACCTTTCGTCTGATTTAAACGGCGCCAATTATGACTCTGGCACAAAACAGAGATATAGAGCATAATCGCTAATTGCAGGACATTCGCAAAATACTCATAATATCTACATACAGCATACTACCTTACGGATTTTTCGAAGCATTTCGAGGACTCTTTGTAACGGATGAAATATATAAGCTCCCTTCTTTTTCCAAGGTACAGGTAATATGAAAAGCAACTCACCTTTGCAATCATGTGTATTCGTGGCTAGTTTTCACTTGTGGCTCATTTGGTTGAGTGAATTTGTACAAAATGTATAATTAAGTGATCCTTACCCACTTTACCAGTATCCTTAGTTTTGGGTCAAGATGACGTTGTTACAACTTCTCAGCGATAGGCCAGCGCTGGCTTTGATTACGGTGAAACACCAACTACTTAACGAAACTGAGTTTTCACTGCAGCATATGCTTAATTAACGCTAAGTTGAAAGAGAGGGGAACAAATGTAAGAACGTTGATTGAGAGGGTTTATTTGATATTTGGATGATTTTGGTTATTTTAAAAGGTAGTTGAATACTATATGGTACCACCGTTTTGTTGCCCTCGATGAAAAAATCACTTCGTGGAGCAGTAATTGAATATCACTTCGTACTGCTTTCGCCACATATGATGACAAGCCGATTGCTTTTGTCCAACGCGTGCAGCCCTTGTCGACCCGAGTTAACGACGCAAGCAGACCAACGACGTTTAGCGAAGGACCATTAACCTTGTCCTTCTTTTTCTGGACAGTTGTATTAAGCAGACAAGAATGGTCGATACACAGCAGGGCGAGGCGTGACATTTAAATCATAGTCGTTTTATATTAGGTAAAGATCAATAAACTTTTAAATATATATGCATATTTACAAAGTGGGACAAAACTCCCTTGACAGTTTGAGAAAAGTCACTTTGGAGACTCTTCACTAAATATACCTGCCGTTTACAACAATTATTTTCGCATCTCCTGCTACTTTAACGAATCTGACCAATTCTGACTCTCCGACTCTTATGTGACATTTACCTTACCCTGCGCAGCACATCAGTATTACCATAGACGTAAACAAACTTGTCCATAATTCCCCACTTCGAAAAAATATGTTCAAGTTACATTCAGGCTTTCTTTCACACAAGTCCTTAGTCTCTGCATACTAAGTATTTTCCAATACAAGTTTTGTGCTTTAAGAACACCGGAATCGTTAACTAGTTTATAAACTCACAGATATCCGGCCTCTTTTTTCTGTTTTATTGCTTTTCCTTGAATTTGTAATTATTTTCTTGGCTATCCGATAATTTTGCTATATTTCAACGTAAACTTAGCAATATATTAATAATATATCTGTAGCTGTGGCATATCTGTATACTGTGCCATCACTAAAATACTGTCCTTTAATAACAGCAGTTAATATCAACTGCTATAATGAGGCCAATATCAGTTTTATATGCATGCCAATCTATAAGTCTGATATGGACGAGGACAAGTTTTATCGAATATCTTTGATATAATTTTCTTTCAAACTAAACTTCTGTGACAGCATTTGTTTTACTAATCCTTCATGTGACGTATTTATCGGCGAATCTTAGGGACACGTTGTGGTCTAAATTCGAATCCGAGCATAAACATACTTCGTTTCGCGCTGGGAACCAGCCGTCTGATGGAAGGCCTAAATAACGATGCCGGACGTAAAACAGGTTTTGGTACGCGTGCCCACACCTAAACCGTAGCTACTGAAGCTGACTCCATCGTTCGGTTCGTTCGTAGTGTTTTCTTCACAGCTCTCAAACTTTGATCATCCGGCGTTTAATTAAATACTCTGCGATGGGCTTCGACAACAGCCCGATGACTCTATGACCAAGTGTATACCATCCTTGTATAGAAATTGCGCTACCGCGTCTCCTTAATGGAAAAGTGTCATATTAAGCTACCCTCTATTTCTGCTGTTCTGCTAATGCTTTGTTTACCTCCTCGGAGAATGGTTTTATTCATTCTTATACGACATGTAGAATTTAACACGCCATTACCTTTCCTACACGTTCAGTACTCGACTTCAGTTTTTTTTTACGTTGCTGAATGGATCAATACGTGCCACCTGTCGCTCCTCTTCTCTCAGGTTGTGATTCACCGTAAAAATTAATTAGTCCCTTCTAGTCGATAACGACATATAGCCTCTTTGTTTCATCTAATCACTCATTCCTTTTTCCAAAAAGCCCGCATCTTTATTTCCGCAATGTCGGACATCCATTTTGGATCCGCTGTTATTTCTACCAATGGTTGCATTGCCCCACATTTCAATCTTCCTCCGTTACGATTGCTTTTGGCATTCGGCTTTTTTTTCCCGGTATCACTGCGAGGTTCTATTCCATTTGCATTTACTCCAAATTCTAGCTAAACACAGATCTAGTGGCCTTCACATATTTAGAATTCAAATGAAGAGGTCAATGTCTATTATATATGAAATCGGCACAATTATCACGGGTGCTCAGATGAAGATCTTACGTAAAAATAATAACGATCATTCACACAAATGATAATGTAGAAGATAACACTTTTTTGATAAAATAGTAGTTCGCTTTTAAATACTATTTGACATATCCTGCCATTTGCACCTATACTATTTGATAATACTATTTGACCTGCCAATGCTCGTTCTACACTAGTACGCCATATTTGTTTACAAGAATCTCTGTTTTCGTTACCACTGATCCTTGTTAACCATAATTATAGTTTATAGATATCCATTTTGAAAGTGCAAAAGTTGCCATTGCAGGAACCATTTAAATCCTAGCGCACCCTAACATAACTAGAGATATGTCCAAATGTATGAGTAAATGATGCAGAGAAAACACTAGCACTTTGTCACCAAAGGACATTTTAACAACTTGTCCAAAAGCTGATCTCTGTTAAGCTAGTAGACTGCTTGGGGGATATATTTATGTGCAGCTACAAAGTGTGACTCACAAAAATGTGTTTTAATTTAATATAGTTTTTGTTTATTTAACCTTAATATCCGAATATAGTTCTGGTACTACTTCGTCCGATAGTAGCGTAAATATCCTAACTATGCATCCTAAATAGCTGTCAATAAAAAGCTGTCAATGGCCCCATTGTCACTCTGGTTAGTTAGTATGGTTGTCTTAAAAATCAACGGCCTACGGACGCATCGCTACAGCATAGATACTTTTCGTAGTAAACATCTCGTGGACACGTGTAACTATAGTGATGTGGCCGGGTTAAGGAACGAACGCACTTCAAAAAGCTGCTTCATCACAAAATAACTATTGACAGCATATTTTCATCGTTAAATAAACAGTGATAATAAGAATTTAAATGGCGAAAACAAAGGCGAAATAAACTATGGAAGATACTCAGCAGTAGTAAACGGTTATTTTCGATGAACTAGTAGCAGTGGAAGCTATTTGGTGGTGCTACAGACGTTTTCAGATACGTACAACGTTATGTTATTACACTATTATATTGTAATATATGTGGAAACTCAGCATGTGGTAATGGTGTCGTATAAAAGCACCAAAGGTATGTATTGGTTTGCAATAATGAGGCCTGGTTTGTTCTGGTTTTTTCCACTTTATTCAAGACTAAAAGTCTATTTTTTATCGCAACATGATGATAAAACCAAAAAAACAGTTCAACAATGTGACATAATCGTCTTTTGCAAAAATGTCCGTTAAAATCATGAATGAAGTGTTTGTGCCTTAAAACGAGAAGACTCCAATCCAATGATAAATGATGACAAATAACATGTGTTGTCCGGTGCACAACCTTTTCCCGAATGAATGTGAAGATAGAGCACAATGATCTGGTAGCTAAGGAAAAGATACATTTAAACAATATTCTTTAATTATTATTATTAAGTTAATTATTGAATAAAGTTATGCTTGTTTCCTGTATAAGTGAATAACTTATGTTTTCAGTTGTACTTGCCAGGAGACGACACAATCGTGCGGTTGTTTTTAAGACAGGTCATATCCAACGGCGTACATCACCTGCAGTTGACTTCCCAAATCTGACAAATATATATAATGAATATAATAATTTTAAAAAGACGGTACATTTGCACATTTAATCTATTGATAGGGAAAGCTATCCTAATATCGTCCATAGGTTTGTGCTGCGTAACGACTCGGAAAAATGGTTCAATATTTTTCTTAAATGCTTAAAGGCACGAACTATTTAATTAAAATATAAAGTTTAAATTGAAAAGAAAACTGCCTTTGGTTCACCTCTTTTCATTCGCAAAAGCTGCATTTTGCGAGTTAGTTGCTCAATAGGAATGGCTTCTTATATTACGCCCACAAAAAAAAGAGAGCTGAGACCTCCTTTCTTGTGGGCGTGGAAATTATCTTCGTGGAAAAATGCACTAGGGTGCAGATCAAAAGACATCTCAGAAAACCAATCTTCAGGCGTTTAATGATATCTAGAAACGTAACGGTGCTATATTGATAACAACAATTAATGAAGAGTTTTTTTTTCTTGTAATGGGTTAAACATAATGTATTTTGGTGCAATATTTTGCAAGCTTCTGTGTACGAAATTCGAATCAATAGACTCTATTATGTTTCCCATTTCAACGATTACGGTTAGAAAATGACTTCCTCGCTATGTGCTAATCTAATAGACATCTCTTGATAATTTTGGTGTATTATTGTAACAATATTAAGTAAATGGCCTCTATCCAAAACTGAAAAGATGTCCGTAACTTACG